ATCCGGAGACAACTGTATAATATTAGTTATTATTATTATTCACCTTGGGTTTTTTGCTTTGTTAACAAGTAATAAAAATAAATATAAAAAAAACGGAAGAAACTAGCTATTTGTCAATAAAATTAAAAGTAAATCACAATTTTTTTTTTTAAGGTAATGAAATACATGATCATGCATTTTTTTCTCAAGGACACTCCCAAATACTTCGTTGATTTCTTCTTCTTCTTCCCGGTTTTCTTTTTCATAACATTTTGGTCGTCATTGTTTACAAGCACCCAATAATTTTAAAATGACCAGTCGGTCAAATATTCTCAAGCTTGGTTGTAGTTTTTCTGGATATTTTCCTAAATAATTTTGGCAACCAGCTGATGCATTTTTGTTGGTTTCGATGTATGTACCATTCTAACATGTCATACTTTTCGAAATTTCCTTAATTTTGCATTTTGACTTTACTAAATTTTTAAAATACTTATTTGATAATGACACACAAAATAACCATTTGTTTCCATGGCCAACCACCAAAACATGTCAAAATGTTACCCAAAAAAATTTTTTTACTTAAAAATTAACAACATTTAAAACATACATTGAATATTCTATCACCTGTTTAAATTTGTAACAATAAAAACGGAACACCCTGTATATTCATATATTTTTTTAAGATCAGAAAAAATAAGCTTTTTAAAAATGTCATAGCCACCTATGATTCCCATTAAGAAAAATTAAAGTATATCTTATTACTGCTAAACAAATAACTGAAAAAAATTGTTAACAACATTATTAAATTCTTTGTAAAAGTGTTTGTATAATGTCTTTGTTTCAAACCTGTATCTTTTATATTAACAAAGATATGATTTTTTTTTAATTTCGTTAAAATGTTAACTTTTGTCTGTAAGTTGAAAACAAAAGACGATAGCGGGATGCGCAATTCTGAATTTGTTTGCAATATTTAAAATGAACGAATTTGGGGAAATTGCTGATGAAGAATGCTTGAAGAAGCAGAAATACTACGTTGGCATCACATAGGATATTTCATGTTCGTGATAACCGCTTTAAAACTTTGTCAAATTCTAAATTTTTGGTAACTTATTGCCAAACAAAGAGTGATTTAATCAATAAAATTTAATGATTTGTTTGATAAAATAAATTTTTTTCTTATACCTCTTTCCTGGATTAACGCTTTGGATATTTATACCAAAGTAAATTTAAATTCAAATTACTTTGACCAAAATCATTTTTATAACTATTAATTTTGTCACATTTTGTGTGTTGAAAAAACGAGACTGTGTATAGATATTTATTCTCCGTACAGCATTAAGTTTTTTGAGAATACTACCAACTTATCAACTTTTGGTAGGGCAAAATATTAATTCGGCGATAAGCCAATCCTTTGTAAGGACAGTTTTAAAAGTTACTTTAGCATTTGATAAGTTCATTTCATTCATAAATTATAGTTGAAAAATGGGTTTTCTGCAATAGACAGTATAGTTTGTATGTTGAAACGGTTCTCCACCTTTCACACAATATTCTGTTGTTCTTCAAGAATCAAATTTAGACTTCTTACTTAAAAATAAAATAATTAAAGTTTCACTTGCATCATGGTTTCCTAAAACCAAACTGTTTTTTTTTAATTTGTAAACTAGTGTGGTTAATAAAGCTGTTGGTCATTTCCTTAAAAAAAAACACATCAGAACTAAATTTTCAACAATTTTCAAATTTTTTATATTTATCTAAAATACAGGAAAATAAATACAAACAAATTATTACATAAGTAATAAAGACAGAAGCCCGGTTGCACGAAAGATAACGGATAGTTAACAAAGCTTTAAACATTCATCAAAAATTTTGTTGAAATCAAAACACCGTTAACGGTTGATTAACGTTTCATCAAAAATTTGATGATTATCAACGATAATGGTCCGTTAATGGTCCATCACCACTGTTTTCCGTTGCACAAACAAAAATGTCACTGTTAACTATTCATTAACGACTCATCAGCTTAATGACTGAACCGCGGGCGATTAATCGGTGATTAAATCATATGTCAAATTTTTTCTTGACGTTTTTAGGCGTTTTTAGTGAGTTGTTATTAAATATCTAAAGGATGAGACAGTAATAAGGATTAAAAAGTTGTAGAAAACATTGAACTGACTTTATTATTTGAAAAATGTTGTGGGACACATCCTCATCTTCATCAAGCGAGAGTGATTACGAAGAACCTGAAAGGCCTGTACGGAGAATTCGTTTCATCCGGGACCGTGAAAATCCATTTGAGATGTTGGATGAATATGACTTTAAAAAAAGGTTTCGCTTAAATAAAGCTACTGTTACTTATCTAGTACACACAATTGGAGATAGAGTCGCACCTAAGACGCAGCGGAACAAATCCTTGAGTGCACAAACCCAATTTTTAATTGCCCTCCGATTTTATGCAACGGGTGGCTTTTTGGAACTCGTCGGCGATTGGATGCACGTCCACAAATCCAGCATCTGCAGAATTATCCAAAAAGTCACACGCGAAATTGCTCGACTCTCTCAAGAAYATATTAAKATGCCGAGGACCGTTGAGGAGTTGGTAGCAACCAAAAGAAATTTTTTTCAAATTGCTGGTTTTCYTYGTGTTGTGGGTACTGTGGATTGTACCCATGTTGGCATCCAATCGCCTGGTGGTGCAAATGCAGAACTGTACCGAAATCGAAAAGGGTACTTTAGTATTAACGTCCAGGCCGTTTGCGACGCCAATTTGAAATTATTACACATCGTTTCTCGATGGCCGGGATCGGTACACGACAGTACGATTTTTAATAATTCGCCTCTTCCTGTCGACTTTCGAATGGGGAGATATGGTAATGGGTATCTATTGGGTGACGGTGGATATCCTTGCCAACAATACCTCCTCACTCCATTTCGTAATCCAGCTAACGCAAGCCAAGAGGCTTATAATCGAGCTCATATCTCTACTAGGAACTGCATAGAAAGATTTTTTGGAGTTTTGAAACGTCGTTTTCCATCATTGAAATATGGGCTTCGATTAAAAATTAATACTATAGTTGAAGTAATTGTTGCCTGTGGAGTTCTACACAACATCTGCAAACAGCAAGATGATGATATAGAAGAATATTTTGATGAGATTATAGAACATGATGAGGAGGAAAATGTTATTTATCAAGAACATAACATAAATAATGTTAACTTTGCAGTAAGGAATTCTCTGGTCGAAACTATTTTCGCCAGATAAAAAAACACATATTTATTTTTGCATTTTTTTAATTTCTAATTTAACTTTCTGTATTTCATAATTTAATAAAATTTGTTTCTTTTTTTCGGTTTTAATTTTTTCCTGATAATATAGATCTTTATAATTTAATTTTTGTTTTTTTCGGGGTTTCAAAATTTTACGTCTTGGCAGGGTAGGAACAGGTTTAGGACAAGGTTCTGGGTTTGCAGAGCAGGGAAAGTTGGAGGAAGGTTCATAGCGGGCAAGGTCAGTGGAACGTCCAGAGAGWGCAAGTTCGGGAATTGGAGTTTGCGGCTTCTCAAATATTTCGATATCATCTATTAAGACAAAAAAATCACAAATTATTTTTGTTTTATTAATATTTAAGCGTGTATATTACTGAAATATTCAGCCGCACTGTCATAAGCATTATCTAGGGGCTCCACTTGTTCCCGTATTGTGGCCAGGAGTATTTCTTGTTCGGAGGTCATTTCCAAGGTGGAACTGCCTCCGCCAGTCTTCATTATTTCTTTCTTTTAATTAATATTAATTTTTTTATAATTTTTATAAATATAATTTGTTACAAAAAAAAAGACTGTGGTGTAATGTAAATTTGTGTCATGTAATTACCTTGTCGTGAGCAGCGGCCTTCCTCGCTTCGCCCTCCTTTACTCTGGCTTCATATTGCTCTTGCTTAAATATATATTTGTCAAATGTAGCATGTGTTTTTTATAAAATTCTTACGTGTTCCTGAGCCACCCTTTTACGAGTTTCCCGCTTTATATTTTCGTAAAAGATTTTTAATTGCTTGACCGACCTAGTACCTGATTCAGCCAAGCAATTAAATTCTTCTACAATTGCTTCTCACGCAACTGCCTTTTTCTGCACCGCCCACGCCTTGGTGCATTTATCTTCAATAACTTCTTTATATCTAAAGGATGAGACAAGGATTAAGGAGTTGAAATGTCGAAAATATTGAGCTTATTTTAGTGGAAAATGGGAAAAAACTGAGGTAACGAGTACAAAGTGAATAAAATTAATTGGAATAGTAAAATGTTGAAGTCTCTTGGTGTATTCTTGGTGTTGGTTTCTCTAGAACAAATTTGATAAAAACTTACTTCGCTACCACCGAAAGGAATATATTCTTTTCATTGTGGGTATAATTTACCCGTTTCGACGACATCCTGCTTCGAACTTAGAACCAAAACACAAGACACTACCACCAGAACACAAGACACAAAGACAATGACACAAAAATTGTCAAAATGTCAAATTAAAGAAATACGGCGTTGTTGTCATATCGGATGTGTAATTAAACGATCATCATATGATGAATCATTATACCATGTGCAAATTGTTTTGTGCAACGCAATCAAAGTTAACAAACCATCAAATTTTGATGAACCATTATCTAATGATCGATTGATGGGAGTTTTGTGCAACCGGGCAAGAAAGTATTAACATTAACACAAACTTTTAGAAGAAGGTATAACGTTTATTAGTTTTTCTATTAAAAAAGTTTACAAAATTACACATAATATCATGTTTACTCAACCCTACTGTTGCTTTTTAGATGTTTTGCTTTCGCACCTATATTTTTTCATGTACCTATTTTAATACACAAGTTTAGCATAAAAATGATTAAATAATGATGTAAAATTTACTTATTTGCAAGTATCTGACGAGCCGTTTTTTTTTCTTGAAAAAAAGTTAGAAAAGTTAATAACATTTTGTTGTTCAGTGCTCATGCGGAAGCGTTCAATATATTTATTTGATACAACAATAATGTTTTCGTTTTGTATTTTGAATCATATTTATAAACATTTTGCATGTAATACCAAACTATTTATAAAAGAGTAGAAATATTTACTCAAGTGAGGTGTCTAAAAAAATAAGCATTACTAATTGAATTTTCAGATTCCTGAATTTATTTTATAAATCAACTTTGGGGTTCAGCGTAGGTTACTTCAAAAATAACAGCTCCGCAGTTGTTCATGAAAAATAAACAATGATGTCGTGTAATTTAATTAATAATTAAATACTCGTAACAAACGTGAAAGTTTCTCAAAATTAGATATAAATAATAAAAAAATATCATATTAAATTGAAATGTCGCAACTCTGAATGAAATCTTTCTTAAATAATAAACTAGCACGGCATATTCGTGGCTTTTGTCTTCACATGTAAATGACAGCAGATATAGCTTGATGAGAAAACTTTGATAGCGGACTAGTTTTTAAGCTAAAATGAAAAATACTAAAAGTATTTTTGTTGCAAAATGCTGAGTTTGTCACTTTAAATGCAAATTTTTCAATATCGGAGGAAGAGTTACGAATTTTAAAGCAAATGTAGGTTAACATTTACGTAGTTTCAGGGACTTACTCTTCTATTTATCGAGTTGTTAGAAAAAAATTCAAACAGAAATATACTTTCTTCTGAATACGTGTCAGCAATTTAATTATATATATAATCATGCACCAAAAACTGTAAAAAAATCACTAAATTTGATTTTTTCAATTTGGCAATCTTTACATGCATTTACATGCTATAATTGTTATTAATTTCGCCAAAAACTCAGTGAAATCTATACAGGGTGTTTCGTTTTTATTGTTACCAACTTAAACAGGAGATATTCAATTTTAAGACAAAAGTTTCCCACGAACATGTATCGAAAAATGCTACGCAAGGGCGGCTTTTAATGGGTTTTTCTAATATTTCCGAAATCATTTTAGATAAAATTACAAAATTTGGTACAGGGTCGCTAAAAAGTAGGGATACAGCTAAATATTTTCAGAACGGTTTAGCAGAGCACGTTGAAATCTAGAAAATAGTTTACCTATTTTTTTAGTCAAAGTTCAGGTGGCGAAGAGCTAACGATAAATAAAGATAACATTTCCAAGGCAAACAAATTTTTCAAAATTTAATTAGTTCGATATTTTTTTTTAAATAAGGTATCCTTGTGTTACATCACAGAACTCAGAAAAAATGCTCTTCTTAAAAAAATATTAAATTCGACCCTTCTTGACATTAAAAAAAATCAAGTTAGCCTCAAATGGAGATAGAAGTTTGATAAACATCTGAGTAGATGGAATTATTAATATGATAATCTCAAAAGTTTAAACGATTAATTAAAATTAAAAATATTTTGGCATCGGTCCTTTACAACCTTTAAACATTTATTAATTTATTTCCAAAAAAACTGGTAATTTACTCAAAAAAAACATTTTTTTAACAAAAAAGTGTAATGTTTACAAAAAAAAATTTTGCACAGCAACAATTTTTGTAACAAGCTCGTTGTCTAAAAAAAAATTGTGGTAGGTTACCATTTTAAAAAAATCGTTACTTTGTGTATCTCGTAAGTATAAACAATTAATTAATATCCTTTTTTTTTTAATAGTCATTATAACCATTGCACACCTATAAATTTATTTGCTAAAAAAATTGATAGTTTCGCCAGAATAAAATCGTTTAGAGACTTTTGGACCACTCTGTACTTTTAAGCATATACCAAATTTTAATAAGTTTTGATGAATAGTTTCTATAATATTTAACGGTATTCATACTTTTTAGCGACCCTGTATAAAGGTTTTATAATCATTTACCCAGTTACCAGTCACCAGGAATAGTAAGTAATACCTACAGGGTGATTCAGATAAGATAATAAGCCCGACGTTTTGGCGATGCAACCCAAAAAACAAATTTCATTTACGTTTTGATCTAATTTTAATTACGATTTGCATTTGCAATCCAAGTTATCTTAAGTTGCTGACAGTGCAATTTATGATTTATAAAAAAAAAACTGTTTGCCTACCTTTAATGTTTCATTCTTTCATACATTTTGTATTGGGTTTACACCGAAAAGATTTCTCTATCATTCCGCGAGGACTGAATGGCACTAATGATCGTTCTCTGCGCTGATGTCAGAATGACATAAGATGATTCAACTTGCAAATCCTAATTTAAATTGGATCAAAGGCGTAAATGGAATTTGTTTTTTGGGTTACATCGCCAGATCGTCAGGCTCATTATCTTATCTGAATCGCCCTGTATACATTGTACAGGATTTTGTTCGTCAAAAATATTGAATTTTGAATCACATTTGAACTCCACCAATTGAGGTTAGCTCTTCAAAATCTATGACGATGTTTTAAAAAAAATGAGTTAAAATCAGCGAAAACAGGCACAGAAAAAAGTGCTCTCATGTAAAAAAGTCATAAAACGGTAAAAATTTTGCATTTATTTTTTTGTTAAAGATACCACCAAATTTCATTACCCTGAATGTCACCGACTACTAGCAATGTAAACTTTGGAATAAAAGTCCTCAAAAAGTTCAAACTCCGGTTATTTGCATTTTTTGACAATTTTCCAACGCCAAAGTGGAGGTTGCACTCTCTATATCTCAGAAACTATAAACATTATAGTTGCACTATAAATGCAAGTTATTTTGACTTTTTTTTGAACTTTACTATCACCTATTAAAATACCTTTGAAATCACCCACTATATTTGATAAACTCAAACAATATTTAAAACTTTATATCAAATGAGGAGCAAAAATCAGTTTGTCCAAATTTGCATTTTTGCAGGAGAGAACAAAAACTGTCCTTTTAAGAAATAATTTTAATTTTTTATATCAGTAACAATAAATGTGGAAAAATATGTACAAATTAGACACAATGAGAAACTAATTTTACGGCTGAAGTACATTTTACAAAAAAACATTAAAAACCTTTATCTCAATTCACAAAAACATGGACATGGACATTTTGAATGTCTTCTCCTCAACTATTAGTTGAATAATTTGTTAATTAGACCAAAAATTTGACCTTTTGAAAACAGTGAAATATTGATTTAAATTATAACGATTTCACGCAACATCAAATTGACATAATTTCCATTCGTTCTGACTTTGACATCAAAATAATTAAAAATTCAATCGAATAATTTATTTTTGTGTCTCAGTTGAAAGTTGTTTTTGCATGATATACGACAATAAATATGTAGATAGATAATATAAAAATTGATTTGTTTGAGTCACATATATTATTGAAATTTAACAAAAAAATTTTGTGGTATTTGGTTGGTACGTCCAATTTACATAATTCCAGATTCAAAGCAGAATAATAATGAATAGTTTTTCATATAATTTTCTAGGTTTGAGGTCAAATAGAGATATTTAGTCCAAAAATTAAGCGGTATTCATCCTTGTATGTCATCTAACTGAATAGATTGTGTTAAAAGTTCTAAATGGCAAGGTGACCCATCAGAGATAAAACTCCCGAAGGCCAGGCTTAATAATCCATTTATCAACCAATTCAAGTTTTCTAATTGCCTAAACATTGTTTACCCGCTTTCGCTGCGTCACAACACTCACCCTATCGCTAAATATCTCCATATCGCCAACGTGAGCGTAAGACAAATCGACGTCGTGTGAAGAATTTGCGTAATGTGTGCATGGAAGAGCATATAAACGGCTCCCGGATACGGAAAGTCCATTTTTTTCTTCACGAAAATGTAGTCATAGTAGGCGTAGGGTATGTACTCGATCATGAGAATCATGTCTGCTACGGCCAAGGCTTTTAGGATGCGGTTGATGGGTGCACAGGCCATGTCTTTTCTTGTGAGGACTGCGATGTTGAGAATGTTGGCGACGGTGCCGAAGAGGCAGACGGCGATGGCCAGGTAGGGATGGTACTCATGGGCGTAAATCCTGGCCACAATTTCGAATTCGCCCCCACAGTCGACCTGTTGTCGGCTCTCGGAGACATTTCCCATTAGCTCCAGGTGCCGGAGAGCTTCCTGGAGTTGGGCCTCGGTTAGGTTGAGGCTGTCGTTGTGTAGAAGTGAGCCGAGGAAGAGTTGGAAGTCGCCGGACATTTTTAATCGGGGCGAGAACCCATGTCTGGATTAAAAAAAATATACAGGGTGCGCCAGAACTCGCGGCCCAAAGAAAAATTTCATATAAGATATGATACGAGGAACATAAAAAAAGTGTTAAAAAAATTCTATCTATAATAGTTATTTGTTGTAAAGTGTGTTAGATAGCGTTTTATCCATGCAAGAATGTTTATTTAATTTTTTAAGTGGATAAAACGTGACTAACACACGACTGCAACATAACGTTTTATCCACAATCACAGGCCCAAATTATTCCAAACTTAATAGGAGAAAATCAGCAAAGTAGCTGACCTCTGGTGTCCGGCTTGGAACTATCCAAATGGGGAAAACATATTTTGACAATATCAGTTTTCCATTTTTGTCAATTTGACAAGTCAATGTAAATGTGAGTACTTGCAAGCGTTTTTGCTCCGTATCTCATTGCATAAACTATGTGGGAGGGTCTATTTCGAGGTATTACTTTCTAAATTGGAGATTTCAACTTTTTTTTTAAATAAAAAAATACTTTTAAAAACCGTTAGGTGACAGATTAAATAAAACTAAAAGTTGTCACAAAATTTCGTCAAAATCCCGCCAAAAGTCGCCGCGCCGTCGTCTAAGCTACGCGCCAAAATTAGTAAAGGAGACATCTGGCACATGAACTGCAAACTATTCAAATGGGGAAAACATTGATGTTTTAGTACCATCTATTGGCGGCTGATTTTCTCCTATTAAAAATTAAACTGACATTTAAACGTCACGCCAAATGTGCTTTCGGTTGAACGTAGTAAGCTGTTACGCGGTGCGCTGGTTACTAACAGTGGAATAAAGTTACTTTATGGACAAAGTGGTACTTTATACGCATCTAAAGTGTGGAATAAAGTCTTTTTATAGAGTGATTGTGGATAAATATTTTGAAGTTATTAGAGTTTAAATTTTGCACTTTGACTCTATTTACCTATTTCTGTTGGAAAACTAGTTTTCCAAGTTTTTTTGCTACAGGCTATTAGAAAAGGAAACAAGAAAGCTGTATCCTAAATTGTAACTCTGTTTAATGTTATTTGTGGTTTTTATTGGCAAAATTTTTGTACCTTTACTAAATACTTATAAAAAAAACATACAGGCTGTCCCAACGAGTTGGTAAAAACCATTAGTGACCTTTAAATGGTAATGGTCTTCTAATCCATCGCCTAAAATTATTTTCAATTATACAGCGTGTTCCAAAAATAAGTTATATTACAAATTTGTGTTTTTTTTAAATGAAACATCGTATGTTTCTTAGCATTTTTGGATGTACATTTTTATGTCAATGTTTTGAAGCTAAACTTTTATTGGTCTATTTTGCTTTGTTTTAAAAATAAGACGTTTTTTTTTAACAAAAACATGCACTTTTTAAAAATTTATAACACAAAAACTAAGACAACAAGAAATATTTTTTTTTACTACCGCAAAGACGAAGGTACAAGCTATAACACAGGGCGACAAAAAAGTCATGTCGTGATAACTTGACAAATTTTATATCATTTTGTTCGTCTCAGTAAGACAAATCAAATGCACTAAAAAAATTTCAAAAACTCCACACACTTTGAACTAAATAATTTTTTTCTAATTTAAATGAATTTAAACACTTTAACTTTAAATAATCATTACTCAATAACTATTAGGCCGATTTCCTTCAAATAAAAACCATTCTAAAGGGATATCCTTGCCCTTTAGAATGATATAAAATTTGAAATTGAATATTGGTAAACTTTTCTTCGAACAGTGTTCGAACAAGTTCGAAGTAAATCGAAGTAATCTAAGAAAAACCTTAGGAGTACATTTTTTTTCTTCGCCACCATCATGTAGAGCATCTTCTTATTAGTAAGAATCCAAATTTTTAAAATAATATACCAAGTAGTTTCTAAGATATGATTTTTTGAAGTTAAGGTTTGCTATTCAGGTATTGCGCCATATAGGAGAAATGCATGTTAATCTTACTTAAAATTGCATTTTTATAAAAGTATTTGTTTTAAGGCCCTTCTTTTGCTTAAAAATGGTCAATTGCACCTTCTTTGTTCTAATTAGAATAAAAAAAACTGTTTCTTTACTTAATACAAACAAAGAGTACCTGCGTACTAATTAAAACAAATAAAGAGTTTTTGTTCTAAAAATGATCACTGATCATTGAGCAAAAAGGATCTAGAAGTTTAAAGCTGTAGCTTTAAATATAAGAACAAATCTTTTTCAAATTAAATCACTTCCATTCGGATTCCAACCTGTTCACTTTGTTCTAGCTTTCTGAACTTTTTTTTTGAAAATGTTCTCAGCAAATGCTTTTTCATTACTTTCTACTGATGTTGAAAGTCAGTTGCTTTGTGTGCAACTGTTATCATGTTATCAAACAACTACTACCTACAAGCTAACTGAAGCTAATCGTAGAATGTACCAACAAAATAAATCAGGTGACTTATTGCATTTAACATCACTCGAAAGTGATGAGAAAGCATTTGCTCAGATAACAGGAACATGAAAAAAATGTTAAAAAAAATTTATCTATAAAAAATTCGAAGTTATGAGGGTTTAAAGTTTGCACTTTGACTCTATTTATTTCTGTTGTAAAAATAATTTTCCAAGTTTTTTTGCTATAGGCTATTAAAAGAGGAAACAAGGAAGCTGTATCCTAAATTGTAACTCTGTTCAATGTTATTTGTGGCTTTTATTGGCAAAATTTTTGTCCCTTTACTAAATAATTGTAAAAAAACATATACAAGAACGTCAGTATCATTAAATATACACGAAAAAATGTCAAATGTCAAAATTTTTTTCATGTTCCTAGTATCTTCTCTTCCTTGAATTTTTTCTCTGGGGCGCGAGTTCTTGTCGCCCTGTGATAAGGCTATAACATTTTTTTAGTATGTTGTATTTGCAAAGATAAAAAATTTAAGGCGTTTGTTAAAAGTTCAATAACTAAAAATTAAATGGAACGCCTTATTTATTGTTTTTATTTAAGAGATTATTATTTTTTTTTCCAAAATCATTTACTTTTAGGTGTTTATAATCGATAACTAAAAAGATATTTAACTTCAAACATTAAAAAAATTATAAATATTGTTATATTAGTCCAAAAGTGGACAGTTGCACAAGAAATGGAAGAAATATCACTTAATAATCACATTTATGTTAAACATTACTCTTCTAGCTATCTTAGTTTTTGTGTAATAAATTTTTAAAAAGTACATGTTTTCGTCAAAAAAAACGTCTTTTTTTTTAAAAAACTAAGCAAAATTGACCAATAAAAGTTTATCTTAAAAACATTGTCATCAAAATCTACATCCTAAAATGCTAAGAAACAAATGGTGTTTTATTTAAAAAAACACAAGTTTGTATTGTAACTTATTTTTGGGACAGGCTGTATAGATAAAAAATAATTTTAGCTGATGGACTAGATTAGTATCGATCAATTTCCTATATACATATTAAAATTTTATTGTTTAAAAGTCCATATTGGACCTTACCAATTCGCTGGGACACCCTGTATACAAGATCATCAGTATCATTAAATAGACATGTCAAATGTCAAAAAATATGTGTCAAATTTTTTTTGAGAGATAGGATTATTTAAACATTATTTCCATGTTCCTGGTATCTTATCTTACTTCAAATTTTTCTCTGGAGCGCGAGTTCTGACACCCCTTGTTTTTTTTTATTTTTTAGTGACGGAAAGTTTTAAAACTTACTGTATGTCTGTTCACTTGACGGAAAATTTAGATTTAAAATGCTTCAGCTGCACAAATTTAAAAAAATAAACGATCAGAATATCATAATTTTGCGTCAGCCGTCATAAAACCCAATTTGAGGACAAAGCTTTCGTCCACTATGTGATTTTTTTTGAGAGTTGACTATTTTTGGAACCAAAGATAGCGTGAGATTTGTATCGAAGTGGTCGTATCGTAAATTCGCCTGTTAATGAATGCTTCAGGGAATAGTTGTTTGTGATTAGTGTAATAAAGTAGTTGGTTTATCTTCGTTAGAAAGCTAAGCAAAGGAAGATTGAGTGAACTCGAAACGAATCAAAAATTATCAATAAAAACTATATATACCTCGTGTTTATTTGTTACGGTAAATATTAGGAAAATTATGCGGGAATAAAAGTTTGAATAAACAATTTAAAAAAACATAAATCGGGAAAGTTCACTCACAACTGGATATATTTTTAGTATGTAGATGTGGGATCTACAAGGATATTATTTGAGGATTCTTCTGAATCTGAAGACAAACAACTATTTGATAAAGGTTACTTTAGCTTGGACAAATTGTTTTCTTTCTGATGGAAATATTAAACAAAAAATTTGCTTCTTTATTATGTTAGACATACATCAAGATAAATGAAAAAATTCCTTACAATAATAAAGTCTCAGAGAATTTTATTTCAAAAAGGCGAATAGATTGTTTAAAAAAAAAGTAAAA